TTGTAAAGAAAACAATGCTTTACATTGGTTTGGTTATTTTGACTACATATGTGGCCTAAATAAGGTAAGGGAGGGGGTTTAGCTTATTTAGGCCACAGGTGTGGCTTAAATAAGGTAAGGGAGGGGGGTTTAGCTTATTTAGGCCACCTGTGGCCCAAATAAGGTAAGGGAGGGGGGTTTAGCTTATTTAGGCCATATGTGGCCTAAATAAGGTCACCCTAGCATAATATATACCTATTGGTTAAATAAGAGGGTGGAAGAAAACAAGAGTTCAGGGAAAAATATTGTACGAGATAAGACAGAACTAAAATAAAGAAGATACAAAATTAGCAAATAGGGATAGATATGGACAACTCTCTATGGAGAAGCATATCCTCTAAAGTTTTTACAAAATTTACATCTCTTTTCAACACCTTTCTAAGATGATGCATAGATGAATTCCTGAAGACAAAACATTTTCCAAGGCCTATTAAATGATGGCTCGCTTTTGGCAAGGTGTTCAGTCCACAACAGTATGCTTCAGGTTTACTTGTTAAAAACAAAATGAGGCATTTACAAGGAACCCCATTATTACTTCTCACTTCATCTTTATATATTTCTAATCCTTTTGAAAAAGCTTTTTAAAATTCACAAAAACAACATGGTGAAGAACTTTAAAATGTATACTCACCTCCAATCCAGCCTTCAAGCTTTCCACATGCTGATCAAAACTGACCACAGATACTTGCCAACAAGGTACTAAATAATTTATCACACTGTCAAGGAGGGTCATGAACCTTGACAGGAAAGAATAAAATATGTTTTATTAAAGGGTGTTACCCACATTCAGTGATACATTTCCTCTGTGCTTATATGCCTACCAGGTCTGTTCAGCTCACATTTGGTGAAGCTCAAAGGCGCAATAAAAATAGACAGAAACATTTTAAGATAAGAACTTCAAAATCTAGAGAAAAATGGATAAACGAATGCACATTTTCTCTGCAATACTATGAACACATTTCTTAAAAACATTTTCGTCCGAACATAGCTATATCATTCGCTATTTCAAAGTTGTTCTTAGCATTTACGCCACATTTTTTCAATGTAAAATTTATTAAACAATACAAAACCATGAACCAGAAAGACTTGAATCAAATCAAACCTTTGTAATACAATAGACCTCCTGTAGAGAACACTTGGACTAAATAGCTGAAGCATGGGGTATCTCACGAGATGCTCAGCAGAGAAAAAGTCTTCATCAAAACCCAAACACCGTTCTTCTAAACAGTGCAGAGTAAGTCCACGAATTCTTGTATCAATTCCATGTGCTACAAGGAGATGAAAGGGGGTGGGGGG